TTATCAACTTTTTCAAAAACACTCCAGGAATGTCTTGTAAGAATAATATATGTTTTTCAGTCATTATATATAAGAGAAGAAGAACAAGAACAGGAAGAATGATAAGAGGACAAAATTTGAGAAAAACTTAATTAATTATATTATATACTCTCTTCTCCCCCAAGCCTCTGAACTGCAAGTAAGAAGCAATGGTGAAGATCAGATGTCCACCGAAGCCGAGGCGTTTTGGACCGTACATAAGGCCTAACGGCCGGCGATCTCCATCCCAAACGCCGGTCATTATCACCAATAATTGTCATCTCCGGTGCAGCCCTAGTGCCAAGTGAAGAAGGAGGAGGAGGAGGAGAAAGTGATGATATTGGAGAGACTTTGAGAGAGTGTAGTTGAGACCTCTTCATTAATTAATAGTAACTTTTGTTAGTGTCCTTATAATTTGTGTTGCTGGCTAGCTAGGAGCAGGCGGTTCCTAAAAGGAACAAAAGAAGAATAAATATACTAAAGGCCTTGTCCTTTTGTGACCCCTTCATGAGCTTGTAGTCTTACACACTTTCGATTGATAGAAGAAAAAAACACGCAGTTTCAGATCTCTCATGTAAAACTTCATAAATTCCATTTGAAATATAAAGCAGACAAATCGAATCTTCATTATGTGGGTGTGTGTTCCAAATACAAGAGATAGTTAATTAAAAGGTATATTTTGATTTTAAATGTAATGCCTCAATCAATTCTTGTCTCCCAAATCTATAAATTTTTTCCAAATTATTCGCATTCATTGCATATATTACTATCTCTAGTTCTAAATATAAGATATACTCCTCTAGTCTTATTTATAAGTCACTTCTTGCATGTTTCATATAGACAAAAAAAAAACATTAAACTTCATTAATTTTCATTTAAAATTTAACAACTTTTTAACTTTATCCCTATTTAATATATATTTTACTTCATGTAAATAAAGTCAACACAATAATAAATGACGGGTAAAATTGTACATTCATGCAAAAAATATCTCTTAATGCCCTACAAATAGAACAAAAATGCATTCTCTCTCTGTCCGATAAATAGTCTGTCCGGTAAATAGGACTAGAGGAGTACTTTGTAGTTCACTGGTATGGTATTAAAGGAATTTTTATCAATCAAGATAATAATGATTAAAATGGTATTTTAAGAAAACCATAGCATAGTTATAACAAATGACTAAACTAAGAAATGTTCATAATATATGTAAGGGTTAAGGTACATGCAATGTCCTGAAATATTTCATTGGATGCATCGAGCATTTTGAAATATTTTCTCAGATGCATTTATTACTGTGAAGTATTTTTTGGTATATCCAGTACCCTGAAGTATTTTTTTTAGGTGCGTCTAGCACCCAAAAATATTTTTGGTGTATTTAGCACCAAGACAAAAAAAAAACTTCAGAATACTGGATGCATCTAAAAAAAATATTTCGGGAATATTTGGGAATACTAAATACACTATAAAATACTTCAGGGTGTTGGATGCACATGAAAAAATATTTCGGAGTACTGGATACACCTGAACCTTATATGCAAATTAGTTACATCTAGCTCCTATATTCAAAATTGGAATTGAAAAATTATTTTGCAGATTCTTAAATGATGAGATGTGGTGGAAACTCATGACTCAAAATCCCTAGTATAATAGTAATTCACAAAGTTATTGGCTTCATGATGAATTGCATGAAAATGGAAGGTTTTAGAAGGCTATATATATTCCCACCAAGAAAGTCTAAGTATGATATCATTTTCTTCAGATCATGATATTTTTTTCGGACATTCTGTCTGTTTATAATAAGGACAAAAGATTCTGCTGTCTAATTAATTTTCTTTTCTTTTAGTCTTGAAATGCCACAGCCACCTTTTTTTTTTCTTTTCTGAAAAAAATAAATTGGTATAGCTTTTAACATTTGATCAAAACCCCACAGCCATTGATTATATATTCCCTGCAGTTCTGCAGATTCTTTTTCTGCTCAAATAATCAAAGACCTCTCCATTTATAAAATAGCACTTCCCCTGTATTTTTTTTTTAAAAAAAAACAAATGTTCCCATCACAGTAATTATCAAATTATTACTGCAGGCTGTAACAACCCAGTCAGTAAAACCATAATCTTCAGTTTAAGGGCTCAAGAGGAGAGAGAAAAAAGGAAACAATTAAGGGGAAAATCATAAATGAATTAGAAAAGAATGTGTTTTTATGTATAAATTGAGGAGATCTCCTTTAGTCATAAAAAGGATAGATAAAGTAAAAACATTGAAAAGAAGAGAAATTCTTCATATAGCTACACAATCATGCATGTGAGAAGAGAGATCCAAGAAAACAAATTTAGGTGCGAAGTTTTAAATTCAAATATGTATGAATAAGTTGAATGACTTTGAAAGAGTTACTCTCAATTAGAATAAAAAAATACTTAAATCTAACTCAATAATAATGAATATCATTATACCATATATTTGTATATGAAGAAAATAAAAGCAACAAGAGAATATATAATTCCAAGTTCCACATCTTATAATTACATCACCAATCCAGCTGGTTTCTTTTATCTCTATTTTGAATATATCACATCCAGTTTCTACTGCCAATCCAAATGGGTCCTTAATGATGGGAGAATATTAAATTTTAGAAAGATTTTCAGAAGTTAACTAAGATATAAGTTGACATAAGCAATGATGTCTCCAGAGGAAACTTATTGATGAAAACCCAGAATGTCATATTCGAAGAAGCTACACTAATCAGTTCATGAAACGCTCCGGTTATCCGGGGCAGAGACGACGGCCATGTGTGTGTATTCAAACGTTGTTGGGGGTTAGTTGCCACGTAGGCATAGCTCGCATGTCGGAATTTCCTCCCACGCTCACACCTTAGCTTTGCAGGGTATGGACATAGGTAGATGCCATTGGTTGGAATAAGCAAGGAGGCTTTACTTGGAAGTTTCTGGGGACAAAGCCGAGTTTGCTGAGAAAAACCAGACCTCACTGACATGCGAATGCATGGAATGGAAGAGATCAGAATCAGACCAGGCGGTTCAGAATATTGCAGAATATTCCCTCTCATGTGTCTGGTCTTACGTAGGATTCCAGAAACCCTGCAGTATCTTCACTGCTCATGTTGTGTGTGTGTGTGTATTTCTTGACTCTATTCAGAGAGTACTATATTTGCTGCTGTCACCCCCTCCCTTTAGACTTCAAAGAACACTGCAATAGGAACAACTTTAATGGATTCTTACAACCTTTGACCAGTGTCTACATACACATATTTGTCATAAAAGCTTGTCATGTATGAGGATTGGTGCAGATCTGTGTATATGCTTGGTTGGTTGTTTAAAGCGGCCTTGGAGGGGTTGAGCTTAAAAGTAATTGTTGAGAGTGATTCAACATATATATGTTTAGCATTTCTCCTCAGTGATTTGTATTCATTTTTGTCATATTGACAGGTCTGCTGGATTTGAATTCGTTCTAGTAACGAGTGCAATAACTTCATTCATACATTAACATACGCATAGAAGCTAATAGAGTGCAACTTGGCAAGCCGCAAACCATCAATCGAATAAAGAATTACTGATATTTTATCAGAATATATGCTACCTCTGATCCTTAATAAAAAGAACTCGTTTGAATTTTATTTTGGTCTTAAATATAATTTAAGACCCCAATTTACTTTATCTTTCATATTTATTTATTTTCAAAATAGTCCTTGTAATAATAATAGTTCTAGCCAATATATTGATTAGCAAGGATATTTTAAAAAAATAAGACCTAATTATTATAAATAACTAACTTAACTAATTCGTTAATCTGTTCAAATTAGTCAACTAACTCTTATAAATTAAGGATCGAAGGTAGTATGATATTTCCCTTGATGCCTGTTTGACATCGGGGAAGAGTTTTTTTAATAGAAGTAGGGTTAAAAATTTGTTTGGTATACTCATAAAACTCTAATATACTACCTCCAGTCCTAATTATAAGAGTCAGTTGACTAATTTGAGGAGATTAATAAAGGAAGTTGAGTTAGTTATTTGTCCTAATTAAATAGGTGTTATCTTTCCTAAAATATCCTTACTAATCAAGTATATTGACTAGAACTATTATTATTAGAAGGGTTACTTTAGGAAAAAAAATATATAAATATGAGAGACAAAGTATATTGGGGTCTTATATTTATGACTAAAATAAAAGTCAAACACGGTCTTAATATAAGGATCGGATGTAGTAATTTTTAATTAGTATGTCCATTTATAATGTGAAAAGAATATATGCTCTTGACTTAAAAAGTCCCAACCCACCATCCCAGACAACATAGCCGTGCCACCAAAAATTAGGCATTTTTCCTTTTTCATTAGGCAGTCGTAGGATCACAGGGAAAATGCAGGCATCCCAACAAAAATTATCATAAAGTGTATAACTGTATACCAGTTGTATAGTGACAATCACCAGCAATGATTCTGTCAAGTGAAAGAAACTTTTCAATCTCTCTCAAGATTAGGTGTTTGAAAAAAAACTTCCCCTAACTAGATCCAACAATACGCTAATCTATGGTAACATTGAATTTTGAAAATCTACACTTTCCTCCTTGCGACGCATTAATTCTAGTTGGTCTTAAATGGTACTATCTCCGGTTTTAAATATAAAAACAAGTTAGAAATTAAATTTATCCTAAATATAATATCTCAATCCAATATGTCTCATAAAGTTATAATTAATTATCTAAAATATCCCTATTGATTATACATAACAAGAGTTTTCATCCAATGATAATTATGATTAAAAAGAGTGTTTTAAGAAAATCAATTCATATTTGTTATAAATAACTAACTTAACTAATTTTTTTAATTTATCTAAATTAATTAATTAACTCTTATATTACATACTAGTGGTGGTATTAAACAAGAAAATCTTAAAAGGATTTGCCCAGATTGTGACCTCAATTCAGTACCAGAAGCTTGATAAGTCATTGCTAAGAAATTCAAATTCCCGCCTTTGATCAAAATCCAGAGCTGAAGATGAGCTCTAGAATTTAAATTTCCCGCATGTTAACATAAACAAATCCAAATCAATGACATTATGTCACCCTCTCGTGACAATCAAGAATGTACGATTCTACTTACATAAATTAACAAGACAACATTTAAGTAAACTCTTCGAATACAGGCAATCAAATTCTCAACTCAACATCAGATGTTTGACTTGTCTTGTCCTCGTCAGAAAGGCCTTGTGTGACGACCCCTTGCCCTGCCACAAAGAAGAGCATTCTTTGGGACTGGATATTCGTCTCTATAAGACTTGGAAGGTGTATATACCCTAAGATAGAATTGCTGCCCCAAGTACTGCCTCGCCCAGTTCTCAGACCTTATGTTCCACATTCCCACGTTGTCCAGAGGCATGTAGATCGCTGTCCATGACCTTGGGTATACCTGAGTTCATTTGGAACAAGACAGCTTTGTTTCAATAATGGATTATACTGCAAGATAAGAAACTTTGACACACATGTATCCATTAAATGACTTCAAGAAAACTTCTTTTCCCAGATCAGTCAACCGAAGATTAATTAATGCTTAATGTTAAGATTAGGATTAGTATATGAGCAAAAAAGACCTATAAAGCTAATGAGTATGATTTGGATGCAGAGATAATGAAAAGTTCAAAAGACTTCAATGGATCTCTCCAGTGTTTGAGGTTTTTCTTGATGTACCGTTTACAAGTTAAATGTTCAGCCTTTTCTGTTCAGTCACAAATTTACTCAAATGATTGGAAGGACATTCTTCCATGGTTTTTACCTGAGTGGTGCATCTAGCAACAGTGTCTCTCAGATTGTAGCTATTTCTACTTGCAGCTGTCCACTGGCCACTACCAAACCTGAACATTTCACAAAATGGCAAGTCAGATATTTAGAATGGAAACAGAAAAGGGTAAATTACACTTGAGACTCTATATTTTGGCCCTAAATAAATTCGCCCTAATAGTCTCATGCCATTGGTTCTGTTATTACTAATATAACTTGTGTACAATCATAAAATAATGTGAATTATTTGTTAAAATGTTTCACAAATGACATTCTATGGAATTCAATAATGTTAGGTCCATGAAAACAGTTTTAACTATATCAAATTTCATTTAAAATACACAATGACAATGAACAAACCAATATGCAATAATGAACTTTGAGGTATGAACAACCATCACTACTTATTATTTCAAACAACAATATAAAAAATATCTATTACCCAAATGAAAAGGAATAGCAAGCAAAACCCTAAGGAGATATCCACTTGACAATGTAACCAACAAAGGAACAGAAGACAGTTTATTAAGGATATATGCTAGCTTACCCACAACCCGAGGAATAACCATCAATTGCCATGACTGAAGAGTGTTTTCCCATTTTGGAACACAATCTCCACAAATTCTCTGAAATTAGCACCCATGACCGATGTTTGGAGGTAGCCATTTCCTCCAGTGGGGTAGCTAGGAATGCTTCCGACATAGAAAACTCCAGGGATATTGAAGTAATCAGCAAGCTTTAATGAGTATCTGGTTGTTGAAATGAGACACTATTAACAGCATACCTCTGCTTCCCATTGATAATAGGAGCAGAGTTTGCAAGCACAATGGTTCTAGAAGGCTTGATCATTCCATAGTGGTAGGAGCCCTGAGGGTTTGGTCTTGGTCCACTTGCTGTCAGATTCCATCTGGTTGGAGCATCAGAAAAAAACAATCTTAGTCAATATTGGATAGTTTCCCATTTGAAATAAACCAATAAAGAATGCTATGACAAGGTTCTAAAAGATGTAAGAAACACTAAAATCATGGCAGAACTACTTACGAATAAAATTTAGGTCAATCGGTGTTCTTGATGGTAGAGGATAAGATAGGGTAAATTATAGTTTCCCTGTGGTTTGAAGGGCGCCATGCAAATTTTTATGGTTAGTTTCATTATATTTTAATTTCTTTGGGGCATTTGGCCTCAAACATAAAAGGAATATACACTCACATTAAATTGATGACAAAAAATTTATTAGTAAAAGTATTTCTTTTTATTTATAATTCATATGGTTTGAGTGTCGAAAGCTGTTACAAGGCTAAAATTGAATATCTGCTTAATTCCCATAAAAAGCAGAGTGCATTTACCAATAAAAAAATGACAAGCACATTGCACTTGGCCCAAAAAAGGGAAACAAAATCTTAGAACACTATTATAAGCGAAGCAAACTCTTAACCATAAAGTCCTTCACTGCATTAGCATTCTCATGTAGATGAAGACAGTGAGAATGATAAACAGAGCAAGAGGAGTGTAATAGTGTAATAGTACATCAGTTTCAAATTCAAACAGATAGACTTTAAAAGAAAATAATACTTTAAATAAATGATGAAGTGAAAGACAAATAAAGCATACCGGATGGATCTGGCCTGCCTGACAGATGAAACAACATCCAGGGTAGGTCCTACAGGAACAGGACCAGAAACCCCCTTAAAAGAATTGCTGTAATGAAGAACGGCTGTTGTTGTAAGTACCCTTCTGGTGAATCTTGTAGAGACCACGACATAGTAATCCTGAGGGGGCTGATTAGCAGTGACCAGCACAGAGTAGCTTTGACCAAGATGGACGTCAAGAGAAGAGTATACATTTTGAAGTGTATGTGACCCTTCTACCTCTACAAGTTTCATCGTGTGACCCTGTATCCTGAAGTTTATGGATGTTGTAAGCCCCACATTTGATATCCTGAATCTATATGTCTTACCTGCAATATACGATAATGGAACAATGATGTAACCACAGGCACAACCTTGGAAGTTTGTGAAAAATGTCAGCTTTTGTTGCAAAAAAAATTGAAATTTAGCTATGAAGCACCAATGGTTCAAAAACTAATGCTCAATGTCTGTTAATCAAGACAGTTCACAAGTTGGTCTTGGCTATTTTCAGTTACGACTTTTGAAGGAGGAAATAAAAAATAAAAATGATCCGAAGTCTTGGCCAACTAGGATTACTCAACCTTGGAACTTGATGAACTGTTGTTTATTTATTTAAATTAATTTTGAACAAAATTCTAAAAATAAAATGCACAGATCTTTAAGCCTTAAAGTTTTTAAAGCCATTTGATTATACGCTTTCAAGATTAAAAATAAATAAATTATATATATTAATCTTCATAAATTTAAGTTCAAGCCAAGCCTAGCTAGGCTTAGGCCTTTTGACAACTAAGCTAGAAATTGATTATAACTCAAGTTGGGTCTCAATCAAAATCCCAGATTTAATTTGGACTTCAAATTGAGATTATTTGTTGGGACTGAGCAAGCTATCCAGTGCATGACCAAGTCTGGAGTCAATGTTGATGCAGTTCAGTAATGACCAAAACCTAAAATGGGGAATCAAACTTTATTCAGAAGCCAACCTTGATCAACTGTGAAAGTGTAACCATTCCAGCCACGTCCATTAATGAGAAGTCCATCAGGGAATGGAAGATTATGGCCATTCTCAAGGAGTCTTCTTAGTCTCTACATATTACAAAACAGAAATTAGCCGTAGTTCAGTAACAAGGAGATAAATTAGAGAACCTGAAAACAGAAGGGAAGAAACTGAAACAAGTGTTATAGAATTATTACACGGTAATCTGTCTTGAACCAGTCTCCAGCAAGAACAGGGAAGTCACCAGCAGGAGAAGGGAAGGGACAGGTATTTTAGGACGGCTCCAGATTCTGATAGAGCCAAATGCACCTGCAGCTTTCTGCATTCCAAGAGATGGGAAGTAGAAATAGCTTCCAATCTGGTCTTTAACCTGCAGATTGTATGTGAAGTTCCGCCCAGGCAAGATAGGGCAGTTTGTTCCAAACACTCCATCTTGCCACGAGTTCCTCCTGTGCTGTAACCCATTCCTGCACAATGGTGAAATTAATCAGGCACTTGTTACACAACATTTTTGTCGTGGCACCTTAAGTTTCAAGAAGCTTCTAAGATGTCTATGTTTGTTTGATACACTGGTATTTAAGGTTCTTCTTGTTGTTCAAGATGACAGAATGCGTAAGATGATGTCATTCTAAGTGTTGTTTCATGCCCAAAGTTTCAGAAATTGATATAAGTACCTAAAATATTTGAACTGTTAAAAGAAATTTTAGTTATCAGAGGCCATTGTATTTGTGGTGAGGAATAGGCACAAAATGTTTTCAATTATAATACTAATCAATAACTAAAGAAATATCACAAAATTATCAGCAAAGTTATGTAAATCCTTGGTAGGATTAAGACATCAGATGTAATTATAAGAACTTGACATTGATAAGCTTCCTCCAATATTGTAGATGGTCTAGATAATGAGATCACTCCCCATCTGTTAGTCATTCACAAAAGTCATCTTACGGACACTTTCCTATTAAATGGAAAAACCGAAAGACTACAAAATTAGAATGTTAATCTTAGATGAAAAGTAATTTTCTCTCTCGTAAGTTAATCAACTGTTTGAAGAAATGCAGAAAATCCAAATCCTTACTCGACCTTACAAGTTACAATTATTTTTTCATAATGATTACAATTAATTTTTGTGCAGTAAAGACATAAGATAGCATGTGGGTTGGTGAGATTCACATGTTGCCAAGTGCTTCAGAAGATTAATTTAATAAACATTGACGTACGGTGCCAGTAAGTTGCCAACTGCTAAAACAGAATATTTTAAGTTTTTAACATGCCCAACGAAGCCTGCCAGAGATTCGTGAGACCAGTGTCGAGTTACTTATTATAGGGCTCAGATTCTTAAAATTAATCTTTATTCAATTCATAATGCAAAAACCATGCCAAATTCTTCGGTCGTTGCTTACCAAATATGCAAAAAAAAAAAAAAAAAATCAACTTGTGTTGTTCCGCCAGA